TGAGTTACAAGAAACTATTGCAATATTGAATAATCTTCCTAAGCTACAGCATTCAAGTAATAGTTCTTATTTAATTTTACCAGTTTCTAATGAGAGGCCTATACTTTCTGTTTTGCAAACTTCCATTTTAGATTTAAAGCCTCACCTTAGTCACTACAAATATGCATTCCATGGAGGTGGAGAAACACTGACAGTTATCATTCCCAATAGAGTTGGTGCATCGCAAGGAAGATCGAAGCCAACCATTATAGACCCGGGCTAAACAAGGAAACATTGAGTCGAGCCAAAGACAATAAACAAAGGCATTGTTTAGGAGGTAACCCAATGGGAGTTAGTTCTTTTATCTTTTTATTTTTGTTTTTCGTATTCATATTTTAGTTATCTTTGTCATTTTCTTTGCATTACACTTTACATTGGGGACAATATAAATTTTAAGTGTGGGGGAGGGGATTTAGATTGAGTTTAAATTTCAAAAATTTTGGAAATGTTTTGCATGATTTTTCAAGAAGAGCAGTTGAGGTTAAATGATTTTTTTGGTTGTGTATCTCATTTGTAAGAATTAATTAGGCTTTTGAAGAACTCATAACATGATTGAATGAATAATCTTACAACTAGAGTTAATTGGTTGAGTTATTTTCTTTGAGGATGGTAGTAACTAAATTCTGTAGCCAAAAAGTCGGTGAGATTTTGAGCCTTTAGACTGACATATCCATAACAATCTCATTAATTATTTCATGTGTAATATTATTCCATGGTTTTATTTTTTAGAACTTGCCTTACTTGTCTTCAAGATCATATTGACACATGCATGCACGAACATGATTAAGGCCATTTTTGTTACATAAATTAGCTACATTACCCAAATTGCCTACTGTGTAATTGAATTTTCCTTTGGCGAACCCCTTTGAGCCTTATTGCCTTTTCTTTATGTAAACCCACGTTACAAGCTTTAAACAAGAAAAAAAAGTCTTTACCCAATACTTAGAACTAGTAGAGTATTGTTCATCATCAT